TTATAAAATTTTCATAATTTTTCCAACTTGTATAAATTTCTTTTGCAGACGGTCGCTTTTCTGGTTCATAATTTAAACATTTCTTCATTAAATGTATATAGCGTTGTGGTTCATCATCAATATTAGCAGGTTTTTTCTCACTTAAAACTCCATACAAAATCTCCCACATAATTACTCCAAATGAGTAAATATCAGATGCTAAAGTATATTTTTTCTTTTTTAAAACCTCAGGATCTATATATGCTCTTTTCCAAAAATGTCATTTACCTTTAATGCTTCATTAGTTGATATTGAAAGTCCTAAATCTGCAATGTAAGCATTATACTTATTGTCTAATAAAATATTACCACTATGTAAATCTCTATGAATAATATTTTGAGAGTGAATCATATTAAGATCAGAAGCAATACATTGCAACAAATTTAATTTATTTTTCCATTTTATTTGCAGTCCTTCCCGCAAAATTTCATACAAGGAGCCCATTCTTGCATAATCTATAACAAGAATATATTCCTTTGGATTATAAGTTGAGATATGCCAATACATCTTAAAATGATGTATTATTTTGACAAATCTTATAATGAATATCTAGCTTAATACAGTATTAAAAGCAAAAAATAAGTATTTAAATTAAATACTAGTAGTTAATATAAAAAAACTAGTTTTAAAATAAACTACAGTTTATTTACATAATTTTGCACATAAATGCCATCAAGTTTGCAACAGAGAGATTTTTTCTTTTCATCCAATTATTCTACTGTTATGTGGACATGCATTTCATATAATATGCGTTAATTTTAACTTGGAACCAGCAATTTGTCCTAAATGTCCAGTTCAAAGTGAAGTACATGTTGAGGAAATTGAGATAATACCTAAACGTAAAAAAACAACCAAGCAATTTAAAGATTCTCAAAAATTTAAAAAACTTGTTAATGAGTTATTGAATGAGGTGACTGCACAAAACACTATACAACCGCATCATCAGTCCAACACTAGATCATCTATTAATTTAAATGATCTTAATAAAAACATTTCCATTGCTAAAGAAAATAATAATAAATCAATTCATGAAGTTCTTAGACGTTACTATGACCTTGGGGAGGCTATAACACAATTATATAAAAATTTTTATAATATATCATATGATATTTATAATTCAAGACAGCAAGTTAATCAGAAATTCAAGCAGCAGCTAAATATTGACACTTTAGATATGGCTCTTAGGAAAAGAAAGGAACGGAGTGAAAAGGTTTATAGTCTATTTAGTTGTTTTAATACAAATGAACATAAATTTAGAGGCAAAGAAATGATAAGTCGGATTAGATCTTTTTCTTTGTCGACTATTTCAAATTTAAGTTGGGATAATATTAACGTAGTGAAAGAATATATCACTATAAGACTTAATACACACAATAGAAGAGAACATAATTATAGATCCAATAGAAGGAAATATACTTATTTTTGATTTATTCATAAAATGTTATATACAGTACTTAAATTTTATTAGAAAAATAATTGGGTAATATACCCATTGACATACATGTCAAATTGTTAAATTATTTTTTAACCACCAATAAAAAGCGTCAAATACAGTAACAATAACTTTTATAAATGATGTTTACAGCATCACATCTAATAATAATATAAGCCAAATTTCACTTAATTTATTAATGGTGAAATTATTAGATATTTACTCGTATCTTATCTCTCATTTAAGCTTTATATTCGCTTGATTTAAGTCAAAATTGTAAGGATACCAGTAATGCTAGGGTGTTTGGTCAACATAGAGGTGCGATCCATAAACTATTAGTTAATATAAATAAACTGTAGTTTATTGTAAAACTGTAGTTTTAAAATAAACTACAGTTTATTTATA